AAACTCATGCTCAAATAAATTGGTTAGTCTCTAAGGTGCCACAAGTACTCCTTTTCTTTTTGCGAATACAGACTAACAGGGCTGTTACTCTGAAATCTTACCCCACTGTGAGGATGTGACGCAGCAGGGAGGGGGGAGTGTTGACCTGGGAATGTGCCCTGGGGATGGGAGACCTGAGAGCCTGTCACCTGAGCCGGGAGGGGGAGGTGACACCTCTGCCCAGGAATGTGGACGGAGGCTGCAGGAGGGAGCCTGCTGGGGGGGTTTATTTTCAGTTTGGGGCTGGGTGGAGGAACGCAGGGAACCCCAAGGCTGGGGTCTAAGCTCCCTGCTCCCCCAGAAGGACTTGACTGAGGGGTCCTGGGTGTACCCACAAGCTCTGTTTTGGACTGTGTTCCTGTTGTCCAATAAACCTTCTGTTTTACTGGCTGGCTGAGAGTCTCAGTGAATCCCAGGAAGAGGGGTGCAGGGCCTGGACTCCCCCACACTCCGTGACACCCACCCCCTAGATACTTAAGAACTGCCTAGGAGAAACTGAGGCACCCCCACACTATTCAGAGGAAACATTAAGAACAGTCCCACTTCGTCACATCTCTCCCCCCTTCGAGATCGAACTGAGCGGGGTCACTTTAGCCGGTGACCTGGGGAAGTTTGAAGCCACCAACGTTCCCATGGATGCCCCAGCACCTCTCCCGTTCCTTGGTAGAAGTTACACCAGGCCCTTCCAGTTTCACGCCCTCCCTTAGGTCGGGGGTGGTCGATAGCACTCGCAGGCCGCATGTGGGAAGGTTTATGCAGCCCGTGCCCTTTGGCCACCCCAAAACCCCAGGGGGTCAGGCTGGGATTGGGTCTTCCCCCCAACAAGCTGGCCAAACACAGCCACTTGGTTATAGGACTGTTTAACTTTCTTAACAGCTTTCACTTCATCTGAGACCTTCTCAAAGCTCTCCACACTGGGTCTTTCAACAGGAAAGTCAGTGGATCCATTCACAACAGAAAATTTCTGGCTGTTAGGAACTGAAACTTTCTTGATTAACTTCAGGTTTCAAAGGAACAGCCGTGTTAGTCTGTATTCGCAAAAAGAAAAGGAGGACTTGTGGCACCTTAGAGACTAACCAATTTATTTGAGCATGAGCTTTCGTGAGCTACAGTCTCTAAGGTGCCACAAGTACTCTTTTTCTTGATTAAATCACTTTCACACCCTTCAGTTGCAATAAACTGCTTGCAAAGACTCCCTGAGGATTCCCTTCCCTAGGGCTTTTCTATGCAACAATTCACCCCTCCCAGAAATTCTGCTCTTACCCTCTTCACCGAGGGCTTGCTCTAGAAGAACACTTTCCTGAGCAACAACAGACTCTTTCTGGGACTCCCTTACATCCAGAATTACCCCGGCCCATCCGGCAGATTCCTACACAATCCGCTTTCAGGCAAACTGACAGACTTCCTAGAGAAAAGGTCAGAAGCCTTCTCCTTCCCTTTGCCACACACAAGTTCAGGAATCTTTTCCTTCTTGCTACAGGTTTCCACACCCTCAGTAGGTAACACAATCACATCACCTTCATGCTCTTCTTGTGCCCTGGCTAGGATCTCACCCTGATTAGACATAGTTGCTCCACCCTTTCCCAGCCACACACTAGCAACAGGCAAAATACAAGCACCAAAATTGTCTGGACTCTGGGATTTTACATAGACCCTAACTGGATGTGACCTAGTTACAGGGCCATTCTCCCGAGCAGACACAAACTTTGGACCCTTCCCTTCCTGGGCTTTAGCTGAATCCAGAACCAACTCTGAGACAACTGCACGACCCTCAACCATCACAGGCTGAAAGGCCCCTTCTGTCTGCTCCACAGACAAAGAAGAGCCGAACACACTTTCTCCTTTCCCAGACACCCAGCTTGGGATCTCATTCCCCTTGTCCCAGCACACAGGGCTGGTCGCAGACAACTGCTTGGAGATCAGGGTAGCTCCCTCCATGGGCAAGTCAATACCCCTGACAGACACGAGCACGTTTCCTTCCCTGTCCCAATTCTCCACCCAGCTAACAGGTAAGATCCAGGGACACTCATCTTCCACTCTCCTCGCCTTCCCACCCTGCTGACTAGACACAGCCATCAGCTCACAAGGCTGCCTAGGCTCATCCAGACTTTCCTTACCAAGCACCTTGCCGCTCCCCACAGATCCGCTGCCCTGCCTGTGTCTCCCCCCCCTCAGCTGGGGTCTCAGCTCCCACTTGCTCAGCGCTGCCCTTGCTGTCCCAGTGGGGGTGGGCAGCGAGCTCGCTGCTTTCCTCACTGCATCAGAGCCAGCCTGAGCCCCCTCTCCGGTGTGCAAAGGGGCAGGGAGCATCCCTCTGTCCCACCCAGCCCCAGGGGTCTGGTTACAGGCAGGCAGGTAGCCTGAGCCTAGCCGCTCCTCCCTGCTGCCAGCCAGGTCATCTGCATTTTCACTGACCATTTCCCTCTCCACCGATTGGTTCCCTGGATTCAAATTCAAACCCTCGGCAGTTACCGGAGCAGGGCCTGGATCCTGTCCCAAAGAGACACAGTCACCCCACAACAGGGTCTCGCAGTTGATATCCCGGAGAACCCCAAAAACCAGCCAGCCCCACCCCTCCTGGGTCTGCATAGGGATCTGGGCCATAGGCAGGGCGAGGGGCTTTGTCCCTGGGACCCTCACCCAGCTCACCCAGCCCCTCAGCATCGGAGGCTGCACCACCCGGGGCCTGACAACAGTTCTCTCTGTCCCAGGATCTCGCCACCCCAGGAATGTCTCCCCATTGACCATCCCCTTCCGCTCCCACTGGGGGTCCGAGGGGCCCGACCCCAGGAAACTCCACACAGACATATAGGTTGGGGTCAGGAGTGGGAGCCTGTCCACCTCCCCACCCATCTGGCTGACGGAGTCTGTGGCCTTGGGACCCAGCAAGGGAGCTAGACACTGGGGCTTTTCCGCAGGGTCCCCCTGGTTCAAATCTCCAGCCTGCTCAAAGGCAGTGGGGTGGCATCCACATCCCCCCCCCTCCTTAACCAGGGGCAGCAATTTACTCTCGAGGTTCCCTGTGGAACTGGCCCCCCGGGGTCTATCCCCACTCACCCCTGGGAGGTCCCCTAGGCCTCTCCACTCCCCCACCGCCAGTTCATGCTGCTGCTGCTTCTGCAGCTCTTTCTCGGGCTCTCGCTGTCTCTCACAGTCCTCTGGCTCTCTCGGACTCAGCTCCAATCCCGTCCGTCTCCGATCCCCTGATGGGGAACCCGATCGTGAAGACCCTCGTCTGGTCGGGGACAGGAGTCTTGGGGATGCCTGGCTCCCACTCCAGCTGCTCCCAGATCCTGCTATAGCCCCATTTGGGGTCAGGAATCTGTCCCTTAGAGCGGTCATCCTCCTCCAGCTGCACGATTAACTCTGCTTTGGTGAACTTTCCAATGCTCGACCCTCTCTTTCTGCACAGGGTGACAATGTCCTTCTTAAGGAGACGGTGACAGGCCGTCACTCTGCTCTTCCCAAGTTTCTGTGGACTCACAGGCCTGTGTGCTCTCAGCTCCCCACGGTCTCCAGGGAGAACCCCTCGTGTGCCAGCCCTTCTCGAGGTCACCACCTCTTTGCCAGGGTCGAGCTGCAGACTCCTCCGCCCCTGGGACCGCTGGCTGCAATCCCCAGGGGGACCCTGTTACTGCAAAAGTCCTTCTCTCTGGTCACACACTCCCAGGGGTTAACCGCCCCCTGAAACTGCTCCTCTCTGAATCTTCAGCACGCCTGGTCCCCGTCAATCCCCCTTCGTTTTACTGCTCCCCAGTCACTAACTGCAGGAAGTGCCATCCGTGCGGTGCTGTACATCCCACCGCTCCCACCAGTTGTCACAGAGTCCCCGGGCGATGCTCTGGAACTGCTCCCCATGAAGCCAGTCAGGACTCTGGGGCAGTCGCCTTTCTGGGAGCAGCCTGTCTACAGGACACACAGCTCACCCGGCTCCACCTTCCTGGGTCTGACCTCGGAGCATTCAGCCTCCTCTGCCCCTCCGGGCGCTTCCCCCAGCGAGTCCGCCCAGGCGGGGTCCTGGGGGGGGCCAGAGGGTCCTGCACCCCAACTCCGCAGTCAGACGTGACTCTCAGCCAGCCAGTAACACAGAAGGTTTATTAGACGACAGGGACATGGTCTAACACAGAGTTTGTAGGTGCAGAGAACCGGACCCCTCAGCCGGGTCCATTTTGGGGGGCAGGGAGCCAGACAACCACGTCTGCCCTTCACTCCATGTCCCAGCCAGCCCCCAACTGAAACTCCCTCCAGCGCCCCCCCTGGGCTTTGTCCCTTTCCCGGGCCAGGAGGGCACCTGACCCTTTTGTTCTCCAGCCCTTTAGCTCTCACCTGGCAGGGGGGAAGGGCCCAGGCCATCAGCTGCCAGGAAACAGGGTGTCGGCCATTCTCTGTGTCCAGACCCCTGCACACACCTGCCTTCTAGGGCTCTGCAACGATCGTACACCCTTACCCCACCACCTAGATACTTAAGAACTGCCTAGGGGAAACTGAGGCACCCCCACACTATTCAGAGGAAACATTAAGAACAGTCTCACTTCATCACATCGAGTCACTCCCAAGCCCAGAGCTGGGGGGCCTGGCTCCCTCTGGGGGGGTCTGTCTGCCTCCGGGGCCCATCCCGGGGCACTCACTGCAGGGGGCTCCTGGCCTGACCCAGGGCCGGCAGGGGGGGGAATGCAGGTTTTGAGGGTGAGTCTCAGGGGGCAGGAATCCAAGGAGCTCACCCCAGTGAGAGCAACCCCGAGGGGGCTGCGGCGCTGCCGACCCACAGATCCCTGCTGTATCACTCCTACGCTTCTGCCCGGCCGGGGAGGAAACCCAGGAGTCCTGGCTCCCAGCCCCCCTGCTCTAACCACTAGATCCCCCTCCCCTCCCAGAGCCGGGGAGAGAACCCAGGCGTCCTGGCTCCCAGCCCAAGCACCACACAGGAATATCAAGCAGTGAAATATTTATTGGCTGGTTGCTTAGGGTGGCCCCTCTTTCCCCTGAGCTCGTCCCCCGCCCCCCATCCCCGAGGCTGGGAGTTGAGGCTGGGGAGGGTCTGTTGCCCCAGGATCCCCGCAGGACTCGGGGGTCCCTGGCCTTGTCTGTGCCCTCCGCCGCTGGCAGTCCACAGCCGCCGTTCTTGGGGAGCGTCGGGTTAACATCCAGCTCCGGGACGTGTCGCGGGCCGGCGCTGGCTGCAGCTGTGTCAAGTGCAGAGGGGGAGTCTCCTGGGGGTCCTGGGTGAGTCCACAGCCTGTCACTGTCCCCCATGCAGGATGATGACTAGGGAATTCCGGGGTGCCACGGGAGGGGAAACTGAGGCAATGAGTGACAGAGAAGGGACGTACCCCCAAAGGCACATAGGGAAATAGTTGCAGAGCCAGGAAGAGAACCCAGGAGTCCAGGCTCTCAGCCTCACTCCTGCTCTAACCACTAGCCCCCACTCCCCTGCCAGTATCACACTCAGGGCAGGACGTGGAATGGGTACCAGGGGCGACTCCCCCTTTCTTGGCCGGGGGGAGTCACACTAGGGGGCTGGTGGCGGAAGAATGGGAGCGGGGGGGGGGTGGGTCTGCGCAGGAGGCCACGAGATGTGGGGGGATCCCCAGGTGGGAGAGGGCTGAGCATGTCCACACCAGGGCAGGGGGCCTGGGTGGGGGCCATGGGTGCTGCCCTCAGGTGTGCGCCCGTCACCATGTGTGTGGGGGGGCTCCTGGCACACGAAGCTTGGCGGGGGGCCGGGGGGCTAGGGCTGGCCGGCAGCATCGGGGAGGGGCAGACAATCCAGGGCCCCCAGCTCTGCAGGTGGGAATGAGACAGAAACTGAGAAAGGAGAGAAAGATCCCTTGGTTAGCCCCCCTCCCCTTCACCAGGGACCGGTGTGAGAACCCAGGAGTCCTGGCTCCCAGCCCCCACCTCTAACCATTAGACCCCACTCCCCTCCCAGAGCTGGAGAGAGAAGCCAGGAGTCCTGGCTCCCACCTGCCCCCCCAACTCTAACCATTAGACCCCACTCCCTCCCAGAGCCAGGGAACAAACCCAGGAGTCCTGGTTCCCAGGCCCCTGACTCTAACCATTAGACCCCACTCCCTTCCCAGAGCCAGGGAGCGAACACAGGAGTCCTGGCCCCCCGCCCCCCAAGGTCTGGCCCTGGCACTCACCTGGAAGACACAGGGAGGAGAGGAAATCCAGCAAGGTCTGGAAGCCGTGCTCAGCAGCGGGGCGCAGGGGGGCACCTGGAGGACAGAGGGGCCGGTGATTGGGGTGCAGAGAGGGGCCCTGAGAGGGGCAGGGGGACGTGGGTGGGGGACTTACCCTCAAACCCCACTTCCAGCTGCACCGGCTCCTCAGTGGCCTCCCGCTTCCCAGGTAAGGCCCCCTTATCCATCAGCAGGCGGTGGGCATCTGCCGAGAGAGAGGGTGAGAGGGAGGGGCTGCAGGTTAGAGCAGGGGGAGCTGGGAGCCAGGACTCCTGGGTTCTCTCTCCAGGTCTGGGAGGGGAGTGGAGTCTAGTGGTTAGAGTAGGGGGGATTTCAGAGCCAGGATACCACAGTTCTATCCCAGCTCTGGGAGGCGAGTGGGGTCTAGTGGTTAGATCCGAGGGCTGGGAGCCAGGACGCCTAGGTTCTCTCGGGGGGGGGGGGGCACAGCGGGGTGGTGGGAACCAGGATGCCTGGGTTCTCTCCAGGGGGCAGCATGGCGGGGGGTAGCCAGGACGCCTGGGTTCTCTCCGGGGGGGTGGTGGGAGCCAGGACGCCTGGGTACTCTCCGGGGGGGTGGTGGGAGCCAGGACGCCTGGGGTCTCTCGGGGGGGGCACGCGGTGGGGTACTCACGGGGGCCCAGCAGGTAGCCTGCACTGTTCAGGGTCCAGCCACGTTTGTCTTTGGGCTGCAGAAAAAATCCCCATTAACTGAGTAGTTTGCCCCCCCCCCAGTCTGACCTCCCCCCCCAGGTCTGAGCTCCCCGCACCTGTCTGAGCTCCCCCCGCCCGTGGACTGGGACAGCCCAGGACCCCACCAGAGGCCTGGTGGTGATTGTACCATTCAGGGGGCCCCGGGGGCCCAGGCTTCTGCCGCCTCGGGGCGACAGGTGGGGATGGAGGAGGCAGGCCGGGAGGGGGGTCTGGGGGGGGGGCTCTCACCATCAGAGGGATCCTGGCGCATTCGCCCAGCAGCCCCCACAGGGCCAGGGAGATGCAGAGCACAGCAGGGATCCCCATCTGTGCAAGAGAGAGAGAAAACCCAGGAGTCCAGGCTCCCTGCTCCCCCACCCTTGTTCTATCCACTAGACCCCCCTCCCCGAGCCGGGATAGAACCCAGGCGTCCGGGCTGCCTCTATCTCTGCCCCCCAAACTCGCTGTTCAACACACACACACCTGGCTTTACCCGCAGCCCAATGCGCCAAAGGGTATTTCTGTTCACCCCGACGAAAAAATCCCTCCCACCCCACTGGCCCAGCCTTGGGCTCCCCCACCCAGCTCTGCCCACACCCCTCACTCCCGACCCACAGCCCCTGCTAGCCCGGCCCTGGGCTCCCCCAGCCCTGCCGGTGCCCCTCACTCCCGATCTGCAGCCCCCTGCTAGCCCAGCCCTGGGGTTACCCCCAGAGCCCCTCATTCCCGACCCGCAGCACCCTGCTAGCCTGGCCCTGGGCTCCCCCAGCCCTGCTGGTGCCCCTCACTCCCGATCCGCAGCCCCCTGCTAGCCCAGCCCTGGGCTCCCCCCCCCAAGCCCCTCACTCCCGACCCACAGCCCTGTCAGCAGCAGGGTCCGATTCTGGGGGGCTGTAGGAATCTCACCTCAAATTCTGCCCTGCTCTGGTCACAGCTGGGGGATCAGGCACCAGATTTATATAGGGCAGGGGCTGGGGGGGCGGGGCAGATGGGTGCGTCATGCCTGGGGGGTGTAGCTAATTGCCCCCCACGGATTCGGGGGGGGCTGTTTCATTTATTTTGCCTCTAATTTCTCTTTTCCACTTAGTCAGAAAATACGTCTGAAAATTGGTCTTATTAGCTCTAATTGACTCCTGCACACGGGCTGGGGGAGGGGGGCTGGGGGATTCTAGGGGCAGCTCAAGGGGAAATCAGCGGGGCAGCCGGACGTCTGGGTTCTATTCCAGGCACTACCTGCATTCATTGATTTTATCTGGGGGGCTGGGCACATCTCGCCATGCCTCAGTTTCCCTATTACTGAAATGAGCTTCATAAGCCTGGTCCTGACCGGGGTCCCGGGTCCCAACCCCATCCCACTTTAACCACTAGACTCCACTGCTCTCCCAGAGCGAGGGAGAGAACCCAGCCCCCTCCGCTCTAACCACTAGACCCCAGTCCCCTCCCCTCGCTGGAGATAGAACCCAGGAGTCCTGGCTCCCCAGCCCCCCCAGGGCGTTGGCGGATGGTCCTTTATTCTCATTAGGGAGGTTGGATAAGAGCCTCAGGCCTTGTCCCCGTCAGCACAATTAGAGCATCTGTGTGAATCCCGGCCAAGGGCCGGGGGCACCTCCTGAGTGCGTCACCGGGCTCACGAGTGACTTCAGGGACATAGAGACACATCGGAAGGGCTAGCAGGGGGCTGCGGGTCGGGAGTGAGGGGCACCGGCAGGGCTGGGGGGGGGGACAGGGCCGGGCTAGCAGGGGGCTGCGGGTCGGGAGTGCGGGGCACCGGCAGGGCTGGGTGGGGGTTCGGGCCCCTCTAGGGGGCGCTAGCTGCCCCCCCGCAGCCTCTCTACCCCCACCCCACTTCCCTCTCTATGGTGCCCCCCCGTCCAGAGCTGATTGGCTGCTGCGTGGCGCGGGGGAGGGGCGGCGCTGCCATTGGCTGCGGGGGGAGGTGTCCGGCGCGAGGCCTGTCCCGTGCTGGGCCCGGGAGCGGCTGCAGGGCGGGGCCGTGGGGGGGCAGTGAGCCCCTGAGCCGGCTGCAGGTGCGGGGGAGAGGGGCTGTAGAAAGGCGGGGTGCTGCCTGGGGGCGCAGGGGGAGGAGGGGATGCATAAGGGTGGGGCGGTGCATTGAGGGACGGGGTTGGGGGGATGCACTGGAGGCTGGGGGGTGCATAAGGGTGGGGCGGTGCATTGAGGGACGGGGTGGGGGAGATGCACTGGAGGCTGGGGGGGTGCACTGAGGGACGGGGTGGGGGAGATGCACTGGAGGCTGAGGGGTGCATAAGGGTGGGGCAGTGCATTGAGGGACGGGGTGGGGGAGATGCACTGGAGGCTGGGGGGGTGCATAAGGGTGGGGCGGAGTTGCATTGCTGTGGGGTGCATACAGTGGGGTAGCTTTCAGTGTGGGGGGTGGGGTGTAGGAGGTGGGAGGGTTGGTATGGGAGGGGCAGCATGGGGGAAGGGGCGGTGTGGGGGGTATAGGGGAGGGGCGGCATGGGGGGTGTTGAATGCAGCAGCAGGGAGGGAGGATCTGCTTCAGGGTGTGTTAAAGGGGGCTGGGCAGAGGGGAGTTGGCTGCACTGAAGTGGGGGGTGCGGTGGGGATGCGGGAGGGAGGGCTGATGGGGGGCAATGCTGGGTGGGGAGCAGCTGCTATGGTGAGGGGTTGCGTTTGGGGGGGAGGTCATCGGCGGCTGGGGGGTGGGGTTGTGTTTGGGGGGGGAGGCCATTGGTGGCTGGGGGCAGGGGTTGCATTTGGGGAGGTAGCCATCGGCGGCTGGGGGGGCTAGGCTGGGGGGAGGTATTGGGGGCAGCGGGGGGATTGCAGGGCTGGTACTGAGTGCGGGAGGCCGTTCTCAGGGCCAGTCTGGGGTTCCCCACACGGGCGGTGGCAGAGAGAACCCAGGCGTCCTGGCCCCCCGCTCTAATGTTGTGGCTGGTTCCAGGGCCAGCCTCGAGCGATGATCCGGGCCGGGACCCCCGGGGGGGCTGTTTGATCCCCGCGCCACGCCCCGGCCGCCATGACCGAGTACAAGCTGGTGGTGGTGGGGGCTGGTGGTGTCGGCAAGAGTGCACTCACCATCCAGCTCATCCAGAACCACTTCGTGGATGAGTACGACCCCACCATAGAGGTGAGACCCCTTCCCCCCGGCCCCAGAGGGGGCCCTGCCTGCCCAGCCCCCCTGCCCAGGGGCCCCCCTCCCGCCCCAGAGGGCCCCGTGTGTCAGGCACTATCTCATCCCCTCCCAGGACTCGTACCGGAAGCAGGTGGTGATCGACGGCGAGACGTGCCTGCTGGACATCCTGGACACGGCCGGGCAGGAGGAGTACAGCGCCATGCGCGACCAGTACATGCGCACGGGCGAGGGCTTCCTCTGTGTCTTCGCCATCAACAACGCAAAGTCCTTCGAGGACGTGCACCACTACAGGTCAGCGGGGTCCCTTCCCCAGCCCGGGGCGGTGCGTGGGTAGGTTTGGGATAACGGGGGGCTGTGGGTTGCAGTTGAGAGGCACTGGTGAGGCAGGGCTGTGGGGGAGCCCAGGGCTGGGATAATGGGGGGGACTGCGGGTCGGGGTTGAGGGGCAGCAACAGGGCTTGGGGGGGGGTGCAGGGCTGGGATAAAGGGGGGCTCTGGGTTGGGATTGAGGAGCATCGGCAGAGCTGGGGGGAGCCCAGGGCTGGAATAATGGGGGGCTGTGGGTTGGGGAGCATCGGCAGAGCTGGGGGGAGCCCAGGGCTGGGATGTGGGGGGTTGGGGAACATCGGCAGACCTTCGCACACCTTGCCTGGTCGTATGCCATGCTGTCCCCCGTTTTGTGGCGGGGCGGAGCGTTGGGTTGCCGATGCCGAACCCGCTGGCACCAGGGAGCGTTGGCTCTGGCTCTGTATTAAAGCCAGAGCAGCAGCGGCAGCCTCTAGTCGATGGCCCCTCAGGAGCCCAGATGCCGTCCGGCCTGGCGTCCTCTCCGCTGGGCAGCGATGCTGCGGGATTGGGGGCGGTTGGCGGTGGGGTTGCTCTTCTCTCCAGCCCCAGCTGTGTACTTTGGCTCTGATGGCCCCTTTCCTTCTGCCCCAGGGAGCAGATCAGCAGGGTGAAGGATTCGGATGACGTCCCCATGGTCTTAGTCGGTAACAAGTGCGACCTGCCCTCTCGGACGGTGGACACCAAACAGGCTCAGGAGCTGGCAAAGAACTACGGCATCCCTTTCATTGAGACCTCGGCCAAAACCAGGCAGGTGCGTGGGGGACACTGCTGGCGGTGGGGATGTAGAGTGACACCGGCCTGTTCCCTTGGCCCCACAGCTGGCCAGAGAATGATTTTTTTTTTTTTTTTTAAAAGGTGGCAAATACAAAATCTTTTGATTGGGGCAGGCTGCTACCCATGTTCTCCTTGCGAGGCTGGGTCCCCCAGGTGGTCTCCATATCCCGAAATGCCTAGCTCGATTCCAAGAGTGACTGGAGACTTTTGGCTAGTCTTGTTGGAATGCGTTTTGGGAGGGATATTAAACATCCCGTGCATCAGAGCTAGGAGGAGACCGAGCATTTGGGGGTAGATGCCGGCATCTGTGTTCTGCAGCGTTTCGGCACCTTTGTCGGCCACGCTAGGGCTCCTTAACTCTGCGCCAGCCACGCTTTCAGGCGGGGGATTTGTCTAAACTGCCCTTTAGCTGCGCGTGTTTCTCTTCTCGCCCTTTGTGCTCTCGTCACGCCAGGGAGTGGAGGACGCTTTCTACACGCTGGTGCGGGAGATCCGGAAGCACAAAGAGAAGATCAGCAATGGACGCAAGAAGAAATGCTCCAAGAAGAAGTGCGTGATCCTCTGAGGGACAGACTGGCGCGGGAGCGGTGAGGATCCTTCCGCCCCCCCGCCCTTCCCCTCCTGAGCCCTTTTGGTTGGTAAACTCCAGCAGTGCAGCATCCAGCAACATCCTGATGCTCGGTTGGCTTTGGAGCAGCTGGGAGGAGAAGGCAGCAGAGACTAGGATGTGACTCTCTTTTGGTTTCGTGGTTCCATTCGTCCCTGAAGCTCCAACTAAAAACAAGTTTCAAAACTGCAACGATCTACCCTACCCCCTGATGTCAGCCCAGAGACGCCCTTCGTTTTGCCGGCTGTTTTTGATAGGAGAAGGAAACATCCCCTGGAACGACAGAAGACGGAAGCGTGGGCAGCAAAATCCCATGAGCTGAGGGGTTGTAATTCCTCCCTGTCCGATCAAACACCAGGCTGTGGTGACACAGACAGTGTATTCCTAGCGTGGTTGAATCTCTGGTCCAGTTAGCAGCTCTCCGCATCCCTCTGGTTTGCTTTCCAGTTGGAGAGCAGGTCTTCACCAGGACAAGAACAGCTGTGTCCCCCTTAGCGCACAACCTGTTCCCGCCATGGAGGGAGAGGGTAATTTGCTCCCCAGCGAAATAAAAGCGTGTAACAGCTGGAGGTTTCGTAAGCCCTGCAGTCAAGAAGGGTGCCAAGTTCTGGGGATGGCCCCACTCCACTGGCATACCTGGTGGGTGGGAAGCCAGGGACCGTGGCGGGGTTTGGGTCCCTCAGAGCAGAGACGTAAGAAGGGCACTAGCTGTGTTTTGAGGGGAGTGATAGATTGGGGTTACCCTCTGTTCCTCTCCTGCTGTTTTGGCTGTTCCTGGGAAATCCGTGTAAGTTTTTGTGATGGGGGGAAGATCCAGCGGCTCGTGGCAATGGCTCAGCTGTGTACGCATGCTCTGTTTCTGGGCCCGCCCCCTAGAAAGGCATTTCTCCCCCGATGTGCTGTGCAGAGAAGTGGGAGCTGCAAATAAACCAGTGAAGAAGTTAATCCAGCCACATACGTGCCCCGTCGGCCTGCGTTTCCCAAACCCTGCGTCTTGGGCTGAAAAATCGTAGTTGACGTTGACGGGGAGCTGCCGCAGCCTGGTTTGATTTTGGGAGGAGGAAGGTGGGAGGGCAGAACCGGCAGTTCAGTTCCTGGTCTGGGGATTCCAGGTAGACAGACCCCGACTCCACCATCGTTTAGCTTTTGTCCACAGTTCTGTTGCTTCTGCACAAATGCTCAAGGTCCCAGGGTGGCTGAGTCTTAAACTCGTCAGTCTCCGCTTGCTCGCAGGGTGTGTGCTATGGCTGCATCCAAGCCTGGGGGACCAGGTGGGATGCACCAGGGTGTGTGCTGGGGCAGAAGCTGAGCACTAGACCTGGGCTGAGGGGGTAATCGCGAGTGCTGACAGCTGGGATCTTTCCTGCTGCTCAGGCCAGGGCTCACCCAAGGGCTCTGCAGCTGTGGGGCTCTAGGAGAGGAGGTGCTGGGAGCGGGACCGTCTGGCTGCAGAAGCGGGACCTGGCTCTCGATTGGGCTGCTTGGGGCAGGGATGGGCATGGAGTTTAAAGCCACCTTTGTGATTCCTGGATCTGGGGCCTGCCTGGGCCCCGCTGTCGATGGGGCAGATCTGGGGCTGCCCTAACTTACTTTGATTCCCACTGGCCCCGAGGAGTAAAGAATAACCACAGCACCTTGCTCTGCCCCCAATGGGCCCTGGGGGTAGGGAATAGTCACCGTGCAGGGAGCCCTGGCTACACCCCTGCCCTGTCCCCTGTGCCAAGGGCTGGCAGCGAAGCCCTTAGGCTAGCTCTGCCCTGGTGGTGGGTTGGTGGGAGGGGGGCCCTATCACAGCCACTCAAAGCTGCCAGAGTGCCGCAGAAGGGGCCTCAGGCGACCGAGAACAAGGGCTGCCTGCGGGAGGGGACCCAGCAGGGACGCGAGCTCCCTTGGCCAGCTGTGGGCACAGGCTGACCCTGCACCGAAAGCTACGCTCCCGTTTTATTGGACCAAACTGCTGTTTTATTTGCCTTCAAGTGGGAGCTGCTCCTAGCGAGGGCGGCTAGCAGCTTAAAATGGTCCTTCCCTGGCCCCCAACGAGCTGCTTTCCCCTGTCTAGGTGGGAAGGGGTCAGACAGGAGGGGGCCTCAGGTACCACAGCTGGAGGTGCGGCCACACCAGCCTTGTGGGCATGGTCCAGCCGGGCTGCTGCCTGCCTGGTAACACCAGGCAGCAGAGCGCTGGCACCAGGAGGAGTGTGACGAGCAGGGCCCGCAGCAGGCGCCTGGGCAGGACGTGGGGCTGTGGTCGCTGCAGAAGGGAAATCAGGCCCCAGGGAAACCTGCACAAAGAAACGTGTTGCTTTTACAAAGGAGAGATGCTGTGACTTTGCCCCCTCCCATCCAGAATGCACCAGAGAGCCACCTCCCAAATCAATCCATCAGGAAGAAAGCTCACACCAAGATAAATGTGGGGTTGAAGGCTCTTGCTCCCAGATGTGCGCCTGTCTCCCCCCCCCCCCCAGTCTGATCTATGCATGGGGGGGCGGTAGCAGAAAGGAATTAACACCAGTGTTGGTTAACGCCCCTCTGCACACACCGTTCAGAGCTTTCTGTTAACCTGGGGCACATTATGACCTCACTTTAGACCAGGTTTATTTCACTTTAGCTTAAATCTTTCAGGAAGTGGTTTAAGCTGCCGTGAAAGGAGAGCGTCCACCCTGCGGTTTGCACCTATCTAAACAGATTGAAAGTTGTTCTGTTAGGCAAGCTGGTGCCACTTTCTCCTGGGTGAGCCTTGAGCCTTCTCAGTTTCCCTTTGCATCTGGATTTCTACATTGCGAGGTCAGCAGGTTCCGCCCCGGTCCTGCTGCCCCAAGGACCACACTTCCTTAACTGCTGTCTGAAATAGACCAGGCCTGTGAGAGAAACAGCCAGGCTTGATTTACATATGGCTGGTGATGGAGAACTGACCCCAGCCCTGGGATGTTGGCCCCATGGTTAATTCCCCTCATTGTTAAATATTGTGCCTTGTTTCTCTAGCCTCAGGTTCCAGCCACTGGATCGTGTTAGACCTTTGTCTGCTAGCCTGAAGAGCCCATGACGTCGGTACTGACCCCTTAACCATCTCTGTGAGCTAATTAGATGTGGCTCCTGGAGCCATGTTTTCCAATCCTCAAACCATTCAGGGGGCTCTTCTCTTAACCCTCTCCAGTTTATCAACATCCTTCTTGAGTTGCGGACACCAGAACTGGGCACAAGATTCCAGCCAGGCCAAATACCGAAGGAATGTAACCTCCTTGCTCCTCCTGGGGTTCTTGCTGTTTATACATCCCAGTGCTGAGTGTGATACAGCAGAAAAAACATTCTTGACTCACCCGCGCATCCTCTGGGATATCCCTGGCACTGACCGGACAGAGTTCTTTGGTGGGTGTGTGGGAGAGTGGAACCGCCTAGGCACAGGGGTGTGGTGGAGGACTGGGATTAGACTGAACGCTGCAGGGGGCTACTCACCATAGTGCAAAGGTTTCAAACCAGCAGTCGTGCAGCTGCTTCTGTTTGATCGGGGACAGCTGATTCTGTACTGGGACGAGTGCACCTTGCTGCAGGCCTCCTGCAGGGCTCCTGGAATAGAGAGGCCAAGCTTTGAATCTCGGTGCATCGCTGGGATGAGGGATATTGAACAAGGCCATTGGCTGGGGACTGTGGGGAGGGACAGCTTGAGGCTACGTGCTCCAGACACACGGTACATCTACATGGGGATAAAAATCCTGTGGCTCTGGGTCTGCTGACTCATGCTTGCAGGGTTCAGGCTGTGGGGCTATAAAAGGTTTGGGGCCAGGCTGGAGCCTGGACTCTGAGACATTCCCCCTCGTGGGGTCTCAGAGGCCGAATGCACTCTGGTTTTATAGCCCCCCAAATCTTGAGCCCAAGTCAGCTGACCCAGGCCAGCCACAGTCTTGCCACAGGTCTTTAATTGGAGCAGGGAGATACCCAGGCAGGGCCACTCACCTGCTCAGATGCTGAGCCAGTCACAGAGCTGTTAGGAATAGTGAGAAGAGCTCGGTGAGATCCAGCCCGGCTGGACAACTAAGATCATTCTAGACAACAGCTTCACGCTGTGCTCTGGCCCATGGGGGAATGGCAAACACCCCACCATTGCTAAGGGTGCGACTGGGCTTTTGCTGGAGTTGGTGAGAGCAGGAGAGCACCAGAAATGATCAGAGGCTTAGAAAACACAACCTCTGGGGAAGGGCTGAAAGAACTGGGCATTTTAGTTTAGAGAAGGCTGAGGGGGGGATAAGTCTTCCAGTATTGATGAGATCATTCTAAGGAGGACGGCGATCAGCTCTCCATGTCCACCGAGGGTAAGACAAGAGGGAACTGGCTTTGTCTGCAGCAAGTGCCATTTGGGTTGGATATTAGGAAACGCTTTCTAGCTTTAAGGCTAGCTCAGCAAGGGAATGGGTGACCAAGGCAGGCTGTGGAAACCCGGGCATGGGAGGTTTGCTGGGTCTGTCCTCAGTGTTGGGGGGTGGAGTAGATGACCTCTGGACGTCCCTTCTGTGGCTCTGAGCCACATCCTCGGCTGGTGGAAATGATCTTAGCTACTGGGAAGTCAGCAGAGCTCCATGTGCCAGCTGCGGGGCTGTTCCACCCTCTCAGGGCTGTAACCGGACCCCCGTAACGGCTCTTCACCATGGTTAAAATGCCAGCCTTACCCCTTTAGCAGCTTTTGGTCACTCACAGGCTTACCTCTCTGCTGCGCTGGACAACAGAGTGTCTGCGGGCCCGGCCTCCAGACAGATAGGCTTTGCTGCCTGAGAGAAACAATCAGATACAATGAGGAGTGAACGGGCTATTGTTCCAGAGCTGTCCCCACCCTGCTCAGCAGAGCTTAGCTGCTGTACCGCAGGCTGTACTGTGATACAGAACTGCCATGGCAGCAGGATGGATTTTACAGTAGGGTGCTTGTCAGATTTTCTTAGCAGGGAGCTGGGGTCTCTCTTCTCTGTTGGCTCCAGAAAGCTGCCAGCTGGCTCCAGAGGGTTGCCAGGAGGCATGCTGAAGGAAGGAAATCAGTATTCTTTCACCTAACGCATAATTTTCCTGGGGAGCTCTCATTACTCCGGGATCTAGTGGAAGCCGGTCACATTTTCCAAAGGGGTTGAAAACTTAGATCAGAATATCTTGGATAATAAGATAATTTAAAAAAACTAATAAAGAGTTTTATCTGAGCACCTTGCTAACAGATTTAGCCTCACAACCCTCTAGGAGGGAGGGAAAGACTGTTATCCCCCATTTATAGCTGAGGCACATGCAAAGACGGGCAGAGCAGGGATTCAAACCCATGTTGCCAAATGCCAAAGCGAGGGCCCAAACCACAGGACCATCTGTCTTGTCTGGTTTAGTAGGGATGTAAACCCTCATGGTTCAGAGACTGCACTTTTAAACAACGTGGGGTAGGATATCCCGTAACTGTAGGGTTGCTGGCTTGGTCAGTCACTGGTCTGATCCAGCCTGGCAATTGTCCTATGTTCCTAAAACAGGGGCATGAAAGCTGGCCTGTGGTAGGCAAAGTTGGCATTTCAATTGTCTGAGGGCTCTAGTGAGCCAGGCAAAAAGCGGAGGGATCTATACTGCACTGCTTGCCCATCTAAAAGGCTTGTTCCACTGCCAATCTCCGAGCACAAGTCCTATCTCTCTGGGAGGTCTGGCAGCAGTGTGCCCATTTTATGGACAGTGACTCAAGCACAAAAATGGCTTGTACGGAAAGCAGACTGTACAGCCTGGTCTCCACTTACACTGGCACAGCTGTGTCGGTCAGGGGTGTGACAAAACCACTCTCTGCCCTACTTAGCTATGCAGAGCTAACAAACCCCCCAGTGTAGACACAGGGATGCCCACGTATGAGTGCTGCTGTTGGACAGATGCTGTTCCTACTCCAGCAGAACGCCTCCTTCTGTCAGTGCAGGTTGCATCTATGGTGGGCATAGGCTGTGCGGTATAGATATGGCCTAAGATCAATAGCAAACCGAGGAGTCCTGAGCAGCTGCTCCGGTCAGACTGCTTAGGGGTGTCCAGCTGGAGAAGCAATGAACCCTTAACGAAATGGATTGTAAAAGTGAGACCCAGTGCACGGTCGGTAACCCTGGAGTTAGCTCTTACAAGGAAGTAGGATTTTTTGCTGCAATCCATTCCCCATTGCTACGACAAGACCGCAGCAGTGGCCTGCCTCATGGTGGAGGCTGTTCTGATAAACAGGTCCCTTACGGGAAATACTCCTGTCCAGCTAGTAATCGTGAGGCAGACACATCAATATTGTTAAGGGCCATGTGGGTTTTTTATTTCCTTTTCCCTAGCAGAAAACAATTTTCTTTAAAAGGAACCTCTTCCCATTCAGGGCCCCCGTGGCTGATAAGAACCTCTTAGCAGGAAAGGGGTAATTAGCGAGCACAATGGAGGAAGAAAAGGAGGACTTGTGGCACCTTAGAGACTAACACATTTATTTGAGCATAAGCTTTCGTGAGCTACAGCTCACTTCATCGGATGCTGTAGCTCACGAAAGCTTCTGCTCAAATAAATGGGTTAGTCTCTAAGGTGCCACAAGTCCTCCTGTTCTTTTTGCGAATACAGACTAACACGGCTGCTACTCTGAAACCTGTCACAATGGAGGAGTTAGCCCATTACCAGAGAGATGTTCATTTGTCTAAGTCGGGGAGGAGAGGGGCACGGGTTATAACGGAAATAAAGCGTAAAGTTCACAATGGCCTGATCTAACTACAGCCCCTGCCCCCGTCTCTGCCTGTGGCACAATTCACCGGCAGCCATGTGAAGCATTGTGTACTATTGTAAATGACTGCACAAGGGGCAAGGCAATGGCGAGCTCGGCTCTTTCTAGTCTTCTCTGCTGGTGCTAGAACAGCTGCAGCTCCTCCAGGCCAGGGAAGCCCTATTGTAGACGCAACTCCTGCTGCTGCTGGCATCCTTACGGTTATGGCCTAGATGCTCAACGGTATTTAGGTGCCTGACCCCCATAGTTAGGTGGCTAAATAACCTTTGAGGATCTGGGCCCATGTCTTCAGCTTGTTTTAAAAGATGGCAGTCAGATGAGCCTTGTACCAGTGCAGACACACTTGTGCTCTATCTGTGCCTCTGAGTAACACCCTTTACGGAGTCTCAGAATCATTAGTCACTTATGAAAATCTTGTAGATGCTAAAGCCAGAAGGGAGCCCGGTGGTCATCCAGGCTTGACCTCCTGTGAAAGCAGCCATAGGACTGCCCTGAACTAACTCCGGGGGGAACTTGAGCTGGTCTTTGAGAAAAACAGCCCCTCTAATTGCCAGGGATGCAGAATCCCATACAGGCCTGGGTCAATCGTTCTCATGGTTAACTCCCTTCACTGTTAAAGTTTGCACCTTGTTTCCAGCCTGAATTTGTCTAGTTTCACCTTCCAGCCTTTGGATCATATTAGACCAGGGGTCGGCAACCTTTCAGAAGTGGTGTGCCGAGTCTTCATTTATTCACTCTAATTTAAGGTTCTGTGTGCCAGTAATACATTTTAACGTTTTTAGAAGGTCTCTTTCTATAAGTCTTTAATATATAACTAAACTATTGTTGTATGTAAAGTAAATAAGGTTTTTTAAATGTTTAAGAAGCTTCATTTAAAATTAAATTAAAATGCAGAGCCCCCCGGACCCATGGCCGGGACCTGGACAGCGTGAGTGCCACTGAAAATCAGCTCGCATGCCGCCTTTGGCACGTGTGCCATAGGTTGCCTACCACGTGTTAGACCTTTGTCTGCTGGATTGAAGAGCCCTCTATTAGCAAATTTATGTTCCCCATGCAGGTACCTATAGACTGTGATTGAGTCACTCTCCACTTTATCAACATCCTTCTTGAATTGGATCTTAGACTCTCTGGGACTCAGTTTCCCTATCTGTAAAATGGGGATAATCCCTTCCTTTCTCTGCCTGGGCTATTTCAATTCTAAGCTCTTCAGGGCAAGGGTTGTCTCTTGCTGTGTGCATGTACAGCACCCAGTGCGATGAGGCCCTGATTGCAGCTGGGTGCTACCATAATCCTACAAGTGTTACACACACCCCTTGCCCAGACATGTGTTTAATATTTCTTTCCAAGAAGGAGGGAGAGCAACCAACTCCAAGAATGCAAATTATCTCCAGAAACCTATTATTCAAATGGCTGGTGCTCTCCATGGGGCGGTTAGCTAATGCCTCCTGGCTGGGTGTTCATTGTCAGCGCGAGCGTTCATCGCCATCAATTTCCCTACTGCCGGCGCCACTTTGTAACCGAGCAGGGATTGGAGTTGAATGATTGGAGGGGGATGAAAGCTTATAGGCCTTTGCCAGCGCAGGGGAGGAGAGTAAATCTGAGCTTCTGCGCTGTTCCATGTGCTGGCTGGGATGCTGCCGGTACAAATAAGGCTGGTTCTGCCACTGGCCTAGCTGACAGCATCGCAGGATCTGGCCGGAGCCTGAAGACACTCGCGCCTGAGTCTGACAGTGCCATTATTATTTATAGCACAGGAGCAGCTAGAGGGCCTGACTGAGAGCGGACGCCTGCCAAGGCTGTAACTCATCCGGCTGCAATCAGGCTAAAGGCATTCCCCTGGGTGTGTGCTAGGAAAGGCAGTTGGATTTAGCTAGCCCACGTTAACTAAGGTCTGTACCTTCCCTTCCGGCCAAGGAAGCACATGGGTCTCCAAGCAGGATAAGCAGCTGTGCTCTTCACTGGTCCCCATGGCTAGTTTAAGCTGCTCCTCTGTGCCATGTGCACACAACTCTTCCTTGGCTGGGCAGTTCCCACCTCTCCTCTCCTCTGTGCTAGATGGGAAGAGAGGGGTTGTTTATCATCACAGCAATGCCTGAACAGAGACTGGCGCTAGGCACTGTACAAATACATACATAAGGGGAGAGGGTCACTCTCCCAAAAAGCTTACATGCTAAAAAGACAAGACAAAAGGTGGGAGGGAAAACTGAGGCACGGGGCAAGGAAGGGACTTGCCCAAGGTTAGCAGCAAAGATGGGACTAGCATGCAGGTCTCCTGATTCCTAACTAAGTGCCCTATCCACTCGCCACACTGCCTCTCATTAACAGATCCGTCTGCTAGGGAAATAATTTAAAGTCTGGTTTTATGCCCATCAAGAAATCAAGAACAATCAGATTCCACATGATTCCTAAGAGATCGCAGCTGCTCCTGGCAAACGCCCCGCTGTTCCAGATCGGCTGGGAGTTCAGCAGATAGCTTGGCTGGCAGTGTGGGGAATGTTGTTATTTATTAACTGTTTGTGTTGCAGACGCATTTAACAATCCCCATTAAGGATCATCTCCCTTGTGCGGTGGGTGTGTACATATCCCCGGTGTGTGTCAATGACGGGTACCTCTACAGCAATAAACGACCCACAACTAGCCCGGGTCAGCTGGCTCGGGCTGTGGGGTTATAAAATTGCTGTATAGACATTCGGGCTCAGGCTGGAGCCTGGGATCTGAGACCCTGCAAAGTGGGAGGGTCCCAGAGCCTGGGCTCCAGCCCCAACATCTACACTGCAGTTTTCTAACTCTGCAGGATGAGCCCCAGACAGCTGCCCTGGGCCAGGACGGCTGTTCCGTGGGTCTTTTATGGCATTGCCAACGTGCCCGATGGAGCTGGGGGAAGAGCCAGCAACATGGGACAGGTAGAAGGCAGCTCCCTCGTCCCCTGTTCGTACCTTTCTGGCATCTCTGGTGTCAGTCGCTGCTGCTGCTCAGCCAGGACTTTGGCTTCCGCGGCGGGGCTTGGCTGAGCCAGCCATGCTGGGGTGCAAACGGCGGCACCCACATCCTGGGGAAACAGGTCCCTGAGTCAGTGCGGCCAATAGTTGGGTAAGGCAAACATCTGGGAGCTGTTGTCCAAGGCTCCCAAAGCGCATCCCCGGGCCAGCTAAGCTCTGCAGTTCCCATGTAAGTGCGGCTGGCTCCCTTTTAAGCCACAGACAAGAGCAGAGACTCGCTCTGCTCATGCTCTGAATGAGGGGCAGAGGCAGGAATAGAACCCAGGAGTCCTGACACAAGTTCCCCCTCCCCCGCTGTAACCACTAGCCCTCACTGGCCCCTGGAGTTGGGAATAAAATATTCCAACACTATCTCCCACTTCCCTGGACCACGTTCCCTTCCACTGCAGGGACTAGGCCTCACGACTCCTGACTCTCAGGCCCCCTGACCCTGTCCTAACCTCTCTACACTACTCGCTGCTAGAAATGGAGACCCCAAGAGTTTTTAATGCCTCTCGCAAATGGAGTGTGCCTCCTACAAAGCCCCCGCCCCGCTCCCTGCGGCAGAAGCCCCCTGGCCCAGCACTGGGGGTTGACGCCAGCCCTAACTGAGGGGAGAGCAACCCCTGCAGCATGGAGAAGCATTGGGGTCAGCACAAATAAAGGAGAGCGCCCCCTAGTGAAGCACCATGACATCCTGCGGCCTGAGGTGGGTTTTTGCTGAAGGCCTCCCTTCCAGCTCATGCCCAGTCCTGTGTTCAGCTCTGCGAGATTTGACTAATCTGAGTATTTAGCCCAGCATCTGGCCTGCCGTCAGCCCAGCATGGTGGCTCTCAGGGTCAAGTAAAGGGGCAGGGCTCCAGCTGGTGAGAACACTGCTTGAACACTGCTTCCCTCTCCACCCTTGGTTCCCACCCTCACCTGCTCCTCTGCCACCGCCCTGACATCCACGGGGCTCATCTCGACAAGTTGCTGTGACAATGCAGGAGCTCCTGAGCCTGGCAACAGCCCACACAGCGGGCTGGGCAGCCTGGCCTCGGCCTTTCGTCCCTGCATGGAGAACGGGGCGGGGCAGTAGTGCACATACAACAGTGATTTATCCTCGTGCAAACTGTCCTTGGGCGGGCTGAGCGTCAAATCCTCAGCTGGAGAACATCGGTAGAGCCCAGGGAGTCTGCGGCAAAGCCCCGCTCCGCTAAGCCTGTGTGGCTTCTAAAACTCAGGTGCTTGGAGTTTCAAATTAGCTGAGGCACCCGAAATAACTGGCTGCCTATGAAAAACAGGGACTAAACAGCCCCATACCTCGGTTTACCCCCTGGGCATCCTGCAGATGAGGACACTGATTTGCACTTTATTATGCGCTGTGAGATCTGTAGGTGAGAGCACCCTGCACGGTTACTCCTTACCATTCTAATACTGAGCCACAGGACATCCCCCCCAGGTCAGGGCTATTTGGGGGCCTTTCTAGTGCAGTTCCTCTGTGGTTTGCTATATCAGCCCCGCCCTCCAGACGCTGCAGCTGTACTGTGGAGTTCTCTCGCCCTGTCTCTGGAAGAAAGTGGTGGCGGCTTCCCAGAGGGATGTGGAGCTGTCCGGGTCCAAGTGGCGAGCTCAAGTGCAGTGACGGTACAATCGAGCTTTGCACACAGAAGGGATGCGAAAAGCTGCTTTGGGGGAGATGTTTCCCTGGTCTTTCTGTAGAGTAGTAAGCAAGCGTGCTTCCTTGATTCATAGATTCTAGGGCCAAAAGGGACCCCTTGATCCTCTGGTCTAACCTCCTGTGTATCCCAGGCCATAAGACTGCCCTGAATTAATTTCTGTTTCAACTTCGGCAGATCTTTTTGAAAAACAGAACATCTTGATTTAAAGAGGGCCTGGGACGGGGAAATCCACCAGAGTCGTTTCAGCAGTTAATTCCCCTCACTGTTCTGTTTGCTGGGGAACTGGGGGTCAGCATGGAGTCTGAGGACACAGCACCTCCTACTGCATGCTGCAGGCCATCGCCCCCTACTGCATCACCAACACTACTACTGTAGCTGTTCCTTTGAGGCCTCCCAGCCAGCTACCGAGCAGGCCTCACCTGGCTTGACTTTTGAACTCTACCAGGATCAAAGCACAAGGTTAATTGGGCTTGCCAGATCAATGCGAGGCTGCCCTTCCCCCTACCTGCTGGATTTCTTCTATCTCCATGCAGAGTGGCTGTGCAGGAAGCTGACGGTGGGGTTTAAGCTCGTGGGGCAGCTCCTTCGGCAGCCTGTATAAACACAGTCAGTTCTCTTTCTTCCAGCCTCTGCATTCAGTTGTCTAACCTCTGGGGTATCCTTGCTTTTCATATAAATATCCAACCCCGCTTTGAATTGTACTAAATTCTTGGCCCCAGCGGAATCATGTGGCTCTGAGTTCCACAGTCCATTCCCCTGTAGTTAGAGGTCAGCTCATGGCCAGACTCAGGTGGGTTTATAGTTCTTCCAGAGCTCTTGGCTATTTATTTTTTAATCTTTACCATTTGAAGTCTGGATGGTTTAATTACAGTTAAGGCCAATGAAATTTCCAGCAATCGGCTCTGAATTCAAAATTGCAGGGCAGGGAGGGTCTTTATGTTCACTGTTTGCACAGCAGCGGGCACAGTAGGGCTGGCATAGAAAGAGGGTGTTGCTTGCCTTACGTCAACAGTGGCAGAGCTGGGGACTACGCGGCCTCTGGCCAATTTGCCTCCTGGGCCGCCGAGCTCTTTTTGCTAGCTATCTGCAAGGGATTTTACTCTATCATATGGTGCCTGGGACGCTGTATGAACATGACAATGATAAGCCAGGTGCGACACGCCTGTGCCGCGGTGACTTTTCCATCACTGACTGCTGTGATCCGAGAGCAGTTTGCATCATCAAAAATGGGCCCTGGGTGACCCAGGGGGGAAACACCCAGCCAATTGCTAGCAGCATGGGAGCAGCACCAATGCCCTATGGGACCAGATCAGCAAGAGCTAGCCAAACAGCCACGAGAAGGATTATCATCCTCCGATGGGCAAACCGAGACAGAGAGAGATGAGGGTAATTGTGGCAGAGTTGGGAAAGATGCCAGATCTCCTGAGTTCAGTACCTTAACCACAGTCCTTCATAACTCTGAGCCTTTATTATTGTCAATGCAACCTGGGCAGGGCCAGAGAAGAGCTCAGAAACCTGGTTCTCTGGGGTCGTCTGGATCTCCCATCCCCAGTGCGGGAGAGTGGCTAAGCAAACTAAGCTGTCTCCCTGCCCCCAACATTTCTTCCTGTGGCGTCCAAGCCCCACAGCTTCCTCCTGAGCATGAGGCAGGAAGAGAGCTTGCTCAAACCTCACGCCTCACCTCTGCACAGAGTGGAGCATCTGCAGTGTTCACACGGAGTGGTGAGAGACAATTGCTGGATAAAGATCACCAGAGAGTATGGCTGGGAGGAGTGTTTCTGCCTGCACCAGGTAGCCTGTGGATCAGGGCCCTTTCCAAGCAGATGCAGCCTAGCTTGCAGCCTCCAGTGAAATTTGTCCTGTCCCCAGCCTGGCCCTTGGGAGACCTGTGTCTCTCTCGCACCGGTGCCACACGACCCAGTTTTATATCAGGAGCTGGGGTCTGAGCTGGGAAGAGGTGAGGTCAGTGCAGAGGTCCCAGCAGGGAGCTCACATTACACATCTGCCCTGGGCTTTAGCAAGGAGGGGAGCTGAATTCAGACTAGCTCTGGGGAAGAGGCTACAGGGAACAATCCTGCCCCACCCTACGGGGCAGGCAATGGGCTAGACAGGAAATGTGGGTTTCAGAGCTGTCCCTAGGCACACGCTGGATATAGGGCTGCCAAGTTTGGTTGGACATATTCCTGGAGGTTTCATCACATGACATAATCTCTAATTAAAGATTAATCTTTAATTCTTGGAGACTCCAGGGCAATCCTGGAAAATTGGCAACCCTAGCTGGTTTTTTGGGGCCAGCATCCTAGCCCTGTGAGAGCAGCCCAAGCTCCCCTTCCCATTTGCCTGATGCTCTCTACTCCTCCTCCCACCTTTCTGACACCCCTGCCAAAGAATGACAAGTGCCCTGACCCCTCCCCTGCAAATTGTTAAAGCCATCCCATATCGCGGTAAAGGCGAGCAGTTCATGCATTACATTATGGTTCCATATATAAAGGGTGTGTAGAGGTTTTAACAAATGGCTAACCCGTCGTTAGAGCCCCGCAGTGCAGGAAGTGCCTTAGAACGGTCCATAACGCCTTGCGCTGAGGGGCTTAGAATCGCCTCTAACCGATGCTGCTCCTGTCCGCCACATGTTTATTAGATCTAGTGATCGCTGATTCATCCTTTATAAAGGGAGCCCTGGTACGCAGCATGACAGGGCAAGGCCCCGGTCACACAGTGTGAACAAACCCCCAGGGAGTTTTGCTACTTATCTAATCTAAGTCTGTCCGTCTAACTGCCAGTCACTGGTTCTCATTCTGCCATTCTCCGTGAGATTAAAGAGCCCTTTAATACCCACGATTTTCTCCCTAGACACTGTAATCAAGCCGCCTCTTGCCCTTCTTTTTGGACACACTAAACAGATTGAGCTCCTTGCATCTCTCACTGTAAGGCGTTGTTTTCCCCAGCTCTTGAATTATTTCTGTAGCTCTTCTCTGCACCCCCTCCAATTTTGCAACATCTTTTTTAAAATAAGGACATCAGAACTGGATGCAGGGTTCCCGTTTCATCTCACCGTCACTCAGAGCACATGAGAAGGGATTCCTGAAACGAGCCTCTCACTCCCGGCTGAGCTAAGGCAGATACTCGGTCTTGATTAAAAGACTGATGGAGAGACCCGCCCTTCCCGAGGTGAGCTGTTTCACTGGTTAATTACACCCTGTTAAAAATCTGCATCTCACTTCTAGTCTGAATTTGTCTGCTTCAGCTTCCATCCATTGGCTCTGGAGTGAGCTAACCTAACCTACAGATTTCAGAGTAACAGCCGTGTTAGTCTGTATTCGCAAAAAGAAAAGGAGTACTTGTGGCACCTTAGAGACTAACCAATTTATTTGAGCACAAGCTTTCATGAGCTACAGCTCACTTCATCTGATGCATACTGTGGAAAGTACACAAAATCTTTTTATACACACAAAGCATGTTAAACACCCATTTTTTCATGCTTTGTGTGTATAAAAAGATCTTGTGTACTTTCCACGGTATGCATCCGATGCAGTGAGCTGTAGCTCACGAAAGCTTATGCTCAAATAAATTGGTTAGTCTCTAAGGTGCCACAAGTCCTCCTTTTCTTCTAACCTACAGAGTGCGTGTGTGTGTCTGCCCTCATTAGACAGACACAGAGACAGATTAGATGGGATAGTTTCTGGCTCAGGGAATAAACCATGATTTCATCGGCCTGAGGTTCCCTTCTGAGCAGGTTATTCCAGGACTGTCCCTGCTGCCCTCGGAAGCAGCTGGCTGCCGGAGGAGACAGGGGACAGAGTGCTGGCCTTGCAATGCACATGCAGTGTGGACAGTGCTCGCCAGGCACCCTTTGGGGGAGCCAGTGGCATGGCGCCGTGTATGAACTGCAGCCCAGAAGCAACCCCCAACACTGAGCTGGAAGGTGCAAGCATCGGACTGCATGGTGTGTGCTGCAGAGCCCCACAACGCAGCTCCTGCCTTACAGCTTCAGGGATTGCAGGGTGCCCCCTAAGCGCTACTCTCAGTAATATCCATGCTCCGGTGGCCCCACGGGACTCAGCTGTGGCACAGAATAACCAGGGAATAAGGCTCTCTCAGCTACACCCCCTCGTACCCCTCTCCTCCAGCCCACCACTTGGGGCTGCTACTCAGGTGGCTGTTCCCTGGGCGGTGGTCTGTCAGGAATCAGGACCTGTAGCAGGCTGCCTGATGGGTGGGAGGGGTCAGTAAACCAGCTCAGTCCAGCAGCTGTTTGGTGGCTGTGATAGCCCGTGCTTGTCCCCAGCCCTGCTCCTACTTCACCTCCATCCAGGTAACCCGGCTCTGACCGCGGCTTCAATTCCTGACTTCGGCTCTGACCCTTGGCTCGGGCACCTGGCCTCTGACTCCTGCTCTGACTGCCCACACCCTGGGCACTGACATTCTCCCTGCCCTTCATGCCAGCCTGGCTGGTGTACAGACAATGAACAGAACTGGGTACCTAGGAGGGACTGCTCAGAAGGACTTACATGGCCAGGTCTTCGGTGGTTTGGCACAGCTGCTCCTGCAGCTGGCTTGTTTCCAGTCTCAGCTCCTGTGGAGGAAGGACAGATCCTCTGGAGTTTCCTCTGCCATATAAGCCGTGTTCTCCCAAACCACCCAGCTCATCAGGCGTTCCTACAGCCAACGGGCCTAGTTCTCCATTACACTTGCACCTCTCTTGGTGGCCCTGGCACAGTAAAGGGTCCTTAAAGTGGGGCAGAAATGGCCTCTAGAAACTCCCCACTGTGCAAGGAATATAACTGCTTTCCCCTCAGCCCCTGGCATAGGGGGACAGTGAGGGCATGGCTGGAGCACACAGCATTGTGGCTGTTCTCCGCTACCCAAGCCCCACAGGAGCCAGATTGGAGGCGTGGCCAGAGGGGACCATAGGCTTAAGTTAGAGCAGCCCTGAGGTCACTCTAACCTATGCCAGGGCCCCCTATCCACAGCCCTGGAATACAAGGAGTGCAAAGATGGCTTAAAGCCACCTTAACCTGCCCCTCCCACACTCACCCCCCTGCTCTGGTGCAGGAGCAAAGTAACTGAGATTCAGGCCAGCCGAATTTAGGGATCTCCTGGGAGTCCTGGGTCATTGAATCTAGTCCCTACAGGCCACCCCGTTGTACCATAAATTTATCAAGCTCCATCATCAGATTAGTGTTTGTCCCCACCACTCCTACTGGAAGGCTATTGTGGAAACTCCCTGCTCTCATGGTTAGAAATCAGCTTCTAATTTCCAGCTGAAACTCAACCCTGGCCAGTTTATCGCCATTTGTTGAACTCAGGTGACCAGCACTGGACACAGTATGCTGGGTGAGGTCCCACCGGTGCCTTGCACAATGGCGTGAATACTTCTTGGGGCCGTTTGACTTAGGACACCTGTCTCCTCCATGGTCCACTGCTCCAGGAGGAGGATACAGAGAGAGCACATGGGGCTGGGCAGGGAGGATCCAGGCTCTTTGGTGAATCAGGTGGAGAGGCCAACGGAGCAGATGGGCAGGACCCTTCATTACCTGCACCACGGTCCTGTACTCCGCCAGCATCGCTGTCAGTTCTTCGGCACAGTTTGTTTTCTGCAAAAAGCCCAAAAAAACCCAGCTTTGCCCCTTCTGTCATGGTGACAAAGGGGGCTCTGACAGATTATCCCTGAGTGGCTGCTTATTAGACACAGGTCTAGCTTTGAGCTTAATTTTGAGTCTGCAGCGACACCTGCTGGTTGTCATGAGCACTGACAGCACACCCAGAACCACGATTTGCATAGGTTTTAAGGCCAGAGGGACCATTGTATTCATCTAACCAGACCTCCCACATGACACAGGCCAGAGAACTTCACCTGCATCGAGCCCCATAACTTCTGCTGGCTGAAAGTTTAAAGGGAGCTGTACACAGCACACATCAGTGACATTAATAACACCTCCTCTTACCGAGGGTTTTTCATTGCTAGATCTCAAAGTGCTTTACAAAGGAGGTTAGTATCATTACACCCACTGTACAGGTGGGGAAACTGAGTCACATAATGGTGAAGTGACTAATTCAAGGTCACTTAGCAGGCCAACAGTCAAGCCAGGAACAGAACCCGGGTTTGCTGAGGGCCAGTCCAGTGAAACAGACAAACAAGAGGATGGACAGAAAGGAAAATTCAGTACTAGAAACAATACCAAGCACGCTGTTCTCAGTCACATACCGATTGCTCACCTCAGTAAGGGCAGTGTCTTTGCAGGAGAGGAGAGTTTCAATTTCACAGAGCTGGGCCTAGAGAAAGGAAATATGTGCTTCACCCTTAGCCCGTCATCAAAGATCTCAAAATGCCCGAAATTCACTGGTAAACTTTCAAACCCCAGTGGGAAAGCGGGGTGGCATAGGATCATAGAACTGTAGGACTGGAAGTCCCCACGTCCAGTCCCCTGCATTATGGCATTAATCCCATTTTGCAGCAAGGGAAACTGAGGCATGAGGTGGGGAAAGAGATGTGTTCCCCCAAGATAACACAAAAAATCAAAGGCAGAGTTAGGAATAGAACCCAGGTGTCCTGACGTCCACTCAGATGCTATAAGCCACTACACAATACAGGCCAAAATGCTGTTTTCCCACCCCACGGGAAATTCCAAAATTTTAAAATGAAAACCAGAAATCTCATCATTTTTCACAAAACGAAATATTCCCAAAAATGTTCAGATATTTTATATGAAAATAATTTAGCATAGAATAGTCAAAATGGAACTTTTTAATAATTTCCTGTTGAAAGCGAGACAATCTAGCAAACCATTTAGATTTCGTCATATCAGCATTTTCTATTGGAAAATTTTTGACCCACTCTGCTTAACAGCTAGGAGGACCTGTAGAGGTGCAAATGTCTTTGCTGGGCTACACACGCTTGCTTGCAAGCTACACAAGGAAGCCAACAGAAGCTGTGGGTTCTCAGCACTGTTGAGGAGGAGGTACTTAGAGCCTAGCAACTGATATAGGTGACACTCATGTTGACACTGGTTGTTAGTACCTTCAGATTTGCCTTCTCAGCAACCAGCCCTGCAACCTTCTGCTTCACTCTGTCTCTCTCTATGAGCAGCTTCCTGTTCTGTAAAGCAGCCGCAGGTCAAGCTTAGTGTTAATTAGCAAACCATATCAAAGAGAAATGAGAAGAGAGCTCTCTAGCTGCTCCCCTGGCCCCTTCACCAATGAAATGCCGCCGCTGCTGGGATGGGACGGGATGGGATGCACAAGCAGCTTAAGGGTGCAGGGCAGCTTAGCACAGGAAGTGAAAATGAATTCCACATCCAGCTGAAACTACAGCAGCAATGAAGGCAGTTTACATGCAGTTAGGCCCAGATCTACCATGGACTTCAGTGGAAGTTAGGACCCTAAATATCTCTGAGGATCTGGATTTTTGACACACTGAAACCTGATCAGGACACTGGGGTTAATAATTCCTGCTCATATTAAAAAATGCCAGGCCACAAGGAGTCAGATGCAGTTTTGCATCTGCCCAGAAAGATGGCAGCTGCAGCAACACAGCGCCCCCTCCTGCTGCTGCACTGCGGCCCTGGAGTCAGCACTTATGCTGCAGAGTGTCCCCTCGGAGTCCCCTGCCCCCTAGCTCAACACTGGAACACTGGAATAATAGATGTTGAAGCCAGAAGGGACTATTCGGATAATATAGCTTGACCTCCGGCAGAACATTGAGTATTTTACCCAGAAATTCCCACCTCCTGCCCCATATCTAGTGGTTGAGATAGAATGTCTCTTTCAGAAAGACATCCAGTCTTGATTTAAAGACTCCAAGTCCTAAAGAATCCGCCCTACCCCTTGGTAAATTATTGCAATGTCTAATAATCCTCACTCTTAACATTGCACACCTTGTTTCCAGCCTGAATGTATCTAGCCTCAGCTTCCAGCCCCTGGATTCTGCTCCGCCTTTGTCTGCTACATTAAGGAGCTTTCTAGGTACTTACAGACCTCTTAGTCACCTTTTCACCTTGTCTGTGATGAGCTAAGGAGACTGTATTTCATTGCAAGGCAGATTTTCCAGACCTCCTCTGTGCTCTTTCCCAATTCACTACTGACTCAGAGCGAAGACCACCTCCCACTGAGTCACCCACACTGCCTCCTCCCTGTTTCTTGCTGACTTGGCATTAAAGTACACAAATGGTTAACTTCCCAAAGACAGCTCCAAACTTTTGCTACTCTCCAGAGCCCTCCTCACCTCCTCTTGAAGACAGTCCACTTGTAGAGAGAGGCACAGCTGTTCCTTCTCCTATAAGTTTAAAAAACAAACCAAACATGGACCTAAGCTGTATCCCCCAGAGTTTACCTATGACGTAACTCAAGTAATGGCCATGTCTTGGTTCAATAAATTGAAGTAACTAGGCTGCCGGTGTTATTTGTTATCAACACACATTTATTTTTACTTCCCCCTGCAATCCAGGTGGTTAATTTGCATCAAGAGCTGAGTGCCCCATGACAGCTGTGCCACGCCGAGAAACCACTCATGGCTGCAGCAGATGGGAACTTTGAAATGCCCATGGGTTTAAAGAAAGACAACAAAAACGTAAGTGAACTCAGTGCTGGCGAAAAGCACCAGATTGACGGGCTGAAATCCTCTGTTTATCCCACAAAACGGGCACACTATGGGCAGTCGCCAGGAAAACTTTTTGCTCTCCCACATGCTGCCCCCTGCTGATTTTCCTCCCACTGCACTGCTGGGTTATCAGTTGGTGTAAATCAGCACACATCTGCCAATCCAACCCACCTAAGAATCAGGCCCTAGGAGTTAGAGACCATTCACGCCTGGATCTCTTTGCTACCAGGACCCAGGTGTGACAGTGGGTTTATAACACAAAGGACTGTTCTGCTAGGAAGGACGCTGAGCCCCATCAACTTGTTACATGTTTGAGAGGGATGTGTCGGTTTCACATGGTCACTTTCTGAGGCTCTCAGCAAAGAGAAGGCAAGGAAATTGAGGTTTTCTTGCATGATTACATGATCATAGCCATGCAAGTGGGCAAACAGATACAGAGAGAGTGCGTGACTTGTGCAAAATCACATGGTAAATCAGCTGCAATTTCAGGTAGCAAACCCAGAAGTCCCAGCTCCCAGCCCTTCCTGCTCTAACCTGACTCTCCCCCACCCCCGAGGCAGTGATAGAACCCAGGAGTCTTAGCCCCACTACTCTAGCCATTAGGAAATACTGCTTTCCCAGTGATATCAGGCTATCTGCCTGAACGCCTAGCCAGGGAAATGTTGCTGAAACAAAGACTCACAAGCACCTACCAGCTGCCGGGCTTGTGAGTAAAGTTTGCCCTTCTCCTCTTCCAGACTTTTTGCAACAGCCTTCAGGTCTTCTAGTTCGTTAGCCACTGATTTAGCCTGTTCTAGGGCCTGTTGCGTGCTACCAAGGAGAGCAGCCAGTTAGGAGAGGCCAGTAATTCAAAGCCTCTGAATTAGCAATGGTCAAAGTAGCCTGAGATAACTGCAATACAGGGCCAAGTGTCACTGAATAAGATGTCCGAGTTTCCGTGGAAGCCTTAGGAGTTGCAATGGTTGAGGTAAATAATGGATATATTCGTTATTACTCTTTGTATTTCAGTAGTCCCTAGAGGCCCAGTTGTCGACCAGGACCCCAATGTGCTAGGCACTGTACAAATCGAGCAACAAGACGGTCCCTGCCCCAAAGAGCTTCTAATCTGAGCAATGAATAGAGCTGCTAAATTCCCCGGCAAAAAAAAACACACAGCGGCTACTCAGTTTAAAATATCCAGCACCCAGAAGGGGGAAATTGCTGAAGCCTCGTGAAATAACGAAAAAATAATAATAACCCCAGACCGAGCGCTTCACCTGCCATTTAAATTCACCCACCCAGGAATGGAACATGGAGGCTGTGTCTGAGCACGCAGCAAGGCTGCACAACACCTGGGCACGGGAAGGCAAAGTGAATCCTGTACCTGGTCCACACCTCAGGCAGGGGAATTTAGGGAGGCAAAATGGAATTAGCCAGGTTGGGATGTAGCCAGCAACACCTGGGAGAGCATGCCCTATCCTGCAGTGAGCATGCCTCAGGGTCTCAGAGGCTATGAGCAATCAGCATGCTTCATGTAGGCCTCACCCTATCACCTCCGAACAACACACTGGAGAAGTGGGACCAGCACTGACTGCCAGGGAGAGCGCCCCCTGTTCAGCCCCCGCCCCGCTCCCTTCAGCACGGGCCCTTAGCACCGCACTGGGGCCAGCACTGCCTGCCTGAGGAGAACACCCCCTACTGAGTGTCCCATACAGCTCCCTGAAGCACACTGCCCCCTAGAGCTGTGTCAGCGCTAAGCCAGAGAGGGGGACAGTGCCCCTCAGCCTGCTCCCTGCAGCCCCCCCGGCTGCCTCCCGTCCCACTCACCTTCTCAGTCTGCCTTGCAGCTGGGAGATCTCTTCGGTGAGGCGGGAGTTGAGTTCCTCAGCTGCCTCGATGGTCCTCTGCAGCTTGGCATTCTGCATGGCCAACTTTTTGTTGCCATACTCCAGGTCTTCAATGCTGTTCATCAAGGCAGCAGCCTCTTCCCTTGGAGACCACCACGAATGAGGGCAAGGGGGCAGTCGGTAGGGAGAGCTCTCCTCACTTGCACTACTGTGACGCCGCACAGCATCACTCACTCAACCCCAGCCTCCAGACCACAGGCTCAGCACTGATCGGGGACGCATTCAGCCGCTGAGCCTGAGATTTTTGTCTTAGCCCACTAGGAAATGGACTGGAACACCTCCACCCCATATCACACCCAACCGGATGGCGATCAGATGGCATTGCCTACAGGCTAGCAAAGGAGACCTGGATCGGCAGCACCTGGTAAGACCCACCGGTTTATCTTGTTCAGCACCAGACATTTCAGAGACTCCGAGAGGGAAAGTGACCAAATTACCACCACAGGAAAAATGATGACCGCCTAGTATCCCCCTCCTGACACTCCACAGTGGTCCATCTAATCCAGCATCCCACGTTCTGCTGCGCTGGATCACTTGCCAGTGATCAATCCAGCTCACACTAGTGATCAATCTAAGCCAGTGTACGGTTTCTAACAATGGCTGGTGCTGGCTGGTTGGGAGAAGGGCGTGATTGTGACTCCCCAGTAATGCCTAGGAGGGTTATCCCTTCCTGACTCCCTGAAGCATGTGAATGGTCCTTGTAACGTTCGTCGAGATAGAGGCCCTGTGGCTGCTGTTTGCAGATAGTACAGCATCTAATCCTTTTCTGGAAACTTACACAGGTACGAGCCTGTAATACCCTACAGCATGGGTTAGTTACATCCCAGCCTTCCTGATTTGGCTGACTATGGGAAGTTAGTACTTACGAGTTTACACAGCTGACGTCCCCGCCATATCCCTCTAACTGAGCAGCACTAGAGACAGGCCTCCTCCTCCTCCCTGAAGAGGAAAAACAGAGAGCAATGTCAGGGCCACAGCCTTACCATGGGTTTCTGGTCGTGATGCTTGTGGCTGCCTGGAGTAGGAAAAGAGGATGGCAACCTGAAGATCTATATCGAATTATGCTCAGGAACACCTGCTCAGTGGCTCCCACTAACCGACCAGGAGGTGTATTAAACTCAGGAATAAGTTATAACTGATGTTTAAGAGTCTCTCTCTTGTCTGTGAAAGGCCACTGGCCTCTCCTGGGCTCACTGGAGATGTGCGGTGGGAGGATGTCACAGCTTCTGTGCTGTGCCAGGGGTAGGGGTGTGTAAAGGTGGCTGAATGCTATGTCTGTGTTTCCCCAATCCTGGGGCTATCCAGACAGCACTTGAGTCCCCCACATAAGGTAGAGCAGCCCAGAGGTTGTTTTAACTTACTGTGGCTGCTGGCAGCCCTTAGAGGTTGTGAGAGTGGCTGGGATAACTGGAATGCAGAGATACTCTGGCCACATCCCCGCTTTCCTGTGCCAGAGGCTAGGGAGAAAGACCTGGCATAGCAGGCCTACTCAGTCTATCCTTCTACAAAGCCCTCTGTATAACCTACACTCTTATATCACTGCAGTTTCTGAGTGCATCAAAACTGTCAGAGCACCGAGGAAATGAGGGCAGAGAAAGAGACTTAGGACTAGATCCTCAAAAGCATTTTGACCCATTGGAGTCCAGACTCCTGGGTTCAGTCCCATCATCTGAAGATTGCCCTAAGAACTCCCAGGTAGCCAATTCAGCTAGCTTTCTGGCTGCTTTGCAGAAGCCCAGAACTGGGCCCCAGAAGACCCTGAATCACACATCTTCACATACGCAGACAAACCCAATCAGACACAACCCTTCTGCCCTATAAGCTAATCAAGCTCTTTCTCCTGCAGACCAGGCAGAAAGAGAAAGACTGCTGTTGATTATTCTATTTATAAACCCTCAGGAGGCGCTCAGATGCTACAGCGACAGAGGGGCTATGCAAGGATTAATTATGAGAGTATTTCAAAACCTGGGTGGTTTCCTGTGTCCCCAGCAGAAAGGGCAAGGACAGACGCCTCAGTCAGGCCAATCAGTAGCACAGGAGGTTGTATTACCGAACCGTCTATACTTAGAATTAAATACACTGTCTTTTTTTTATTATCCCTTTCAGCACAACTTACCAGATGGCCACAGGCACATATTGTACACAAACTTGTCTTGCTCCTTCATGGTGTCTAATCCGCTGGATGAAACATAAATGAATAGTTATAATTCCCACTTTATCACCATCCGTACGAAATGAATCGTGTGCTCTGTGCATATCAGGTGACTTTTCGCTATTCACACCCACTTCTTAATAAACACAAGGATGAAAATAGGTTTCAGAGGAACAGCCGTGTTAGTCTGTATTCGCAAAAAGAAAAGGAGTACTTGTGGCACCTTAGAGACTAACCAATTTATTTGAGCATGAGCTTTCGTGAGCTACAGCTCACTTCATCAGATGCATCTGATGAAGTGAGCTGTAGCTCACGAAAGCTCATGCTCAAATAAATTGGTTAGTCTCTAAGGTGCCACAAGTACTCCTTTTCTTTTTAAGGATGAAAATAGTTCCTCAAGTTTAGTGGTGAGTGTTGTACCATGCTGTAATTAAGGCAGGATGGTCGCTTAATTAGTCAGGGGTAAGAAACAACTGGGTCTCTTTAATGATTAAAGTCAGAAAAGTTATGCATGCAACAGGTGAGCCTTAGGGTTGTCCTAGATAAAGCTGTGATAGAAAGGCCCAGAGAAGGGTTATATTATGCATTTCACCTGGCTGTTTCGTTAGAAGGGAACAGAGCTAATAAATATTAATATTGATAATGAGAGCTGATTCTGGAAGCCTTTTTTTTGTTTGTTAAAGACTAAGAGGCACATATGACATAGATACACAGTTGGATAGCACAGGGAGTGGATTCTTACAGCAGTGAGGTTCTCTGATAAGAGAAAAGGAGTACTTGTGGCACCTTAGAGGCTAACAAATTTATTGAGTCTCTAAGGTGCCACAAGTACTCCTTTTCCTTTTGCGAATACAGACTAACACAGCTGCTACTCTGAAACCTGATAAGAGAAAGGAACTCCTAGGACAACTCTGGGAGATGTATATCAAGTCTCCGCAGGAGTGTAGGAGTCAGGACTCCTGAGTCCCAATTCTTGGAGAGAATATAGACTAGGAGGGCAGAGTAGGACTCCTGGGTTCTATTTGCTGCTCTGCGGTGTTATGTTGTCTAGGAAATTAGAGCAGGAGGGAATGGGAGTCAGGACTCCTGGGTTCCAATGAGTTCCTGTGTAACCCTGGAAGGCCAAGCCACTTGGCAGATGCAGATCGGTGCATAGCAGGATTTTCACAAGGCCTTAGGTGCTGAATACCCATTCATTTCCATTTTTTTTTAAAGTACCTTTGAACATCTGGCCTTTTACCTGTCTGTGCCTCAGTTTCTCTTTCTGTGGATGAAAATCTTACCCTCTCTCGCTGTGGGGTTGTGACACCTATGCCACAGATGTTCCTAAATTATCTACTCACCCATCCTGCCGACAATCTGCAATCCAGTTCTTCATAACGGCATGGAAGGTCGGTAAATCCACAGCGACACCCCTCTCTTCTGGGTCCAGCATTTTGTAAAGCAACTGCAGTCTCCCTTCCTCACAGCTTTGCCCTGTCACAGACTGTAAGTACTCGATAATACGGAAAACAGACACTTGTCCTGCAATCAGAAATTCAGACACACCAATAATCACCCCCTGGCAAACCAAGAACATTGCTAGAGATGGAAGGTTCGTCTTGTGATTACAGTGATGGCCTGGGAGTTTGGAGATCAGTGGAATCAGTGGGAGGGAGGCCCAGATCCTCAAAGGGATTTAGGTGTTTGAGTTGCTGGAATCCCTGTGTAGTTGACAATGGATTTGTGCATTGTCCTAAATCCACATCAAGGGACCTAAATAAAGTGACTTTTTTCAAAGTGACCCACTGAGGTCAATGCAACCTCTGATTAACAGGTGGGGCCATCTCTGCTGCAGCTACATGGTAATCTATGCCCCTTCTGCTTCATAGCAATATAGCCCCCCACCCCTGCTTCAGGAAGTTGACCATGCAGTCTGCTGTCTGCTTTCAGCTCAGCCTTGTTAACTCCTAGGAGAGTGGAAGATCCCAGGTACAGGACACTAGGATGCAAGATGGTTTTTTCAAAGGTCTTGAGAATGGGAGGTAGGTGAAGGGGCTAGAATTTGCCATCTGAATGCTCACTGGCTTCCACAAAGGAGCCATTGAATCTAACGCACAGTTGATTTCCTGGTAGCATTAAAGTGGCTGGGACTCTGCCAGGGCTGTGCATTTCCAGCTGACATTAGAACGCTTTCTACCTGTTTGTTCCAGGTCACAGGCTTCAAACGTGCAGGTCAGGACGTGCTCCTCGGAGCATCGGCTCTTGCTGCTGATGGCAGTGCTCTCCCATGACTCTAGTAAGGAAGAGGAGGAGAGTTGTAACATTTACAAGCTAAGAACATAAGAACGGCCAAGCTGGGTCAGCGCAATGGTCCATTTAGCCCAGTAACCTGTCTTTGACAGTGACCAATGCCAGACGCTTCAGAGGGAATGAAAAGAACAGGGCAATTATCGAATGATCCATCCCCTGTCCACCAGTCCCCGCTTCTGGCAGTCAGAGGTTCAGGGACACCCAGACCATGGGGTTGTGTGCCTAACTATCTTGGCTAATAGCCATTGATGGACCTACCCTCCATAAACTTCTCTAATTCTTTTTTAAACCCAATTATACTTTTGGCCTACACAACATCCCCTGGCAATGAGTTCTACTGGCTGACTGTGCACCATATGAAGAAGTACTTCTTTCTGTTTGTTTTAAACCTGCTGCCTATTCATTTCATTGTGTGACCGCTGGTTTTGTGTCATGTGAAGGGGGAAATAACACTTCCCTTCACCTTCTCCACACCATTCCTTTGATATTATAGACCTCTGTCGCAGTGACTCTCAAACTTTTTTACTGGTGATCCCTTTCACATAGCAAGCCTCTGAATGCAACCCCTCTTATAAATTAAAAACACTGTTTTATATATTTAACACCATTATAAATGCTGGAGGCAAAGCAGGGTTTGGGGTGGAGGTTGTAACGAGAACTGGACACAATAATCTAGTTATGGGTGTGCCATGGATTTATAGTGGCACTATGATATTTTCTATCTTACGATCAATCCCTTCCCTAATGGTTTCTAACACACCGTGAGCCCCTGCACATGGAGCGAATATTTCCGGAGAACTTAATGTCTGGTTCCAGACCTAATTACCCGTAAGCAAAATCTCCCCCATTCCGGACTGTCCTATGATCCCAGTACTGTGCTGTGGGATAGTGGACAACTGGCCTTTGTGATTACGCTATAAGGAACAATCCTGACCTGTCTGAGGGGGCAGGAAGGTGGGGAACGGTCTCCCAGGAATCTAATACTATAGGTTTTATCCCTGCACTAACTTTTAAGATGCCATGATTCACACACACACCACAAAAATCTCATGCTTATGCCCAGGGATATCAACAGACCAAATTCTGCTTATACCAGCCCCATCTGGACTAATTCCTCGGACTTAAATTGAGTTACTCGGGATTTATGTTGACGTAACTGAGGGCAGAATTTGGCCTGACAGGTCAAATCACAGGATGTGACTAAGAGGAGAATTGAGTTCACAAAGGCTGATATGCGTAGCCACAGTATATTATGTATGTACTTATCTTTCCATCTCCATACACTCCCCCACAGCCCATCTATCTGTCATACAGCAACCACCGCAGTACCCAAGCATTCTTTGATCTCTTACCCTAACAACTTGGAATAACCAAGTCAGCATCCATACTCTGTACTAAAGCAAGCCCTACTGAGCAGCGTGGTGGGAGGCAGCTGTGTGGAACAGGATGACTCATCCACCTCTGTGACTTACCTCAATTCAAATAAAACCCAGGCTGCTCCCCTATGCACCCTACAAAGACAGCATCAGCGTTCTTTTAACTTGCTGGAGGATTCTCTGCTCCTTGAAGTCTTTAAACCATGATTTGAGGACTTCAATAGCTCAGACATAGGTGAGAGGTTTATCGCAGGAGTGGGTGGGTGAAATTCTGTGGCCTGCGTTGAGCAGGTCAGACTAGATAATCATAATGGTCCCTTCTGACCTTAATATCTATGAGTCCCTCTGGCGTGAAATCATAGCACTTAGTGCTAGTCAAGGTACAGAGCACCTTCCATGAACTCTCCCAGCCTTATAGCAAATGTGCTCCTTGCTTTTCCTCTTCACACTTAAGCTCACACAGAAAGGCCTCAATCCTGAAATCCAGTCTGCACCACTGTGGCTCCTGTACTGACCTGACTGCAGAATCAGACCCTAACCTGGGAGGCAGCAAGGTCTAGCAGGCCGAGCACCAGGCTAGGGCTTCTGAACATCTGGGTTCTACCTCCGTCTTCCTCTTCGACCTTGGGCAAGTTAACAGGGTTGACGGTGAATTTGTCATCTGTAGGTTTCAGAGCCAACAACCCATTTGGAGGAATGGAGCGGATCTCGTCTCTAAGAGATACTAAGGTCAGAAGGAAAGGAGTACTTGTGGCACCTTAGAGACTAACCAATTTATTTGAGCATGAGCTTTCGTGAGCTACAGCTCACTTCATCGGATGCATACCGTGGAAACTGCAGCAGATATTATATACACACAGAGATGTATGTCAGAAGGGACCATTATGATCATCTAATCCGACTTCCTGCACAACGCAGGCCACAGAATCTCACCCACCCACTCCTGCGAAAAACCTCTCACCTATGTCTGAGCTATTGAAGTCCTCAAATCGTGGTTTAAAGACTTCAAGGAGCAGAGAATCCTCCAGCAAGTGACCCGTGCCCCATGCTACAGAAGAAGGCGTCCTCTAGATGCTTACAAATTGATTGTTTAATGATTTGTTCTAGTATCTTTTCAAGTATTGAAGTTAGGCTGACTGGTCTATAATTCTCCAGGTCCTCTGTTCCCCTTATTGCTGCAGAATCAGGCAGGCCATACTGCTCACTTGACACTTGGGTCACGTTTTCAAGGTCATATTTGCAACATGGGCCCCCCATTCAGCAAAGCACTTAAGCACCCTCTGGTTGCCACTTCCTTAGCTCATAGGGTAGCATTAAAGAATGTGTAACTGCAATAATGGGGGAAACAGAGTAGACAGACAGACCCCATAAAGGGCGCTACATACCCTCTGAGGACTGGACCATGGGCAATTCTGCAACTGCTGCAAGGTTAGACATGGTCTCCATGTTCACTGGCTGACCTGTTTCCCCACAGCAGCTGGCTTCATCCAAGATCCAGGGGGAAGCGTCCCCCTGTGGGGAAAGCATGTCTCCCGAGGCCATGTCTCCCATCACCTTAGCTGGCCCTGCAATAAAACAGACAGCGTGATGCCCTCCAAGCAAGCTCTCTGCTGGGAATGGGGTAAACTGCAGCAGATTGATTGAGCTAATTAAATTAGATGAGAAGAGAGGCTAGAACGGGTGGCGAGGGACTCCCGGGCCTAGACCGATGGGCTGGCTGTATGGGTTAGCCACTGGGTTAGCTGAATTGGTGTATTTACACCAGTACAGCCAGACCCTCAGATTACCCATGGGTGTATCTAGAAGAAGGTGTAGCTAGGGTTTTATCCCAGTGGTGCCATCAGAACTTGGCCCCAAACTGTGTTCGCTTTTGGAAGAAGTCTCAGGGGAATCCCACCCATGCTCAGAATGGAAACTGTCTTGTTTAATCAACTGGGGCATCCATCAACCAGAGGAGCAGAGGGAGGGCAATGTAGGGGTCAAGACACCCCCCACGCCCATTTAAAGCGTATTTGTGGGGTTATCTGGGTCTGCCCTCCCTACCCGGGGAGGGATGGAGGGAGGGGATGGATTTAGGGTAGACAGCCTATCTGAGGGAGGTATTTGGGAGTGGTGCTGAAAGAAAGAGAAGGGGGGGACAATTGTACCAGGGCCCTGAGCTCAAGGCAGACCCCAAAAGTCTGTAAAAATGGGGTGAAATGGGACATGATGAACCAATGGGCCAGGTGACTTGGGGGACGTTATCTGGGATGTCTGGCCTACATGAGGGTGTATTTAGGGAGAATGGGTTTTATTCCGAATTGGCCACTGGCCTGCTGGGTGACCTTCAGCATGTCCCTGCCTCAGCTCGTGCCACGGTTTTCCCATGTGGGGCTAATGATACCAACCTCTTTTGTGGTTTTCAGGGGGCAGTTGGTCTGTGGGGGTTCTCTGGGGTTGGCGTGACTGTAAGCGGGCAAGCTGGGGATTTGGGGTTGGGTGGTTTACGGGGGCCATTGGTCTGTGGGGTTCTCTGGGGTTGGCGTGAGGGTTGGGGGCAAGGCAGGAACTGGGGGGGAGGTATCATATCCGTGGCTGGGCACAGGCTCCCTGAGGGAGGGCGATTGGCACCAAGGGCTCTGTCTGGGGGGCTGTTGGCGTGGGCAAATTGCCGTGGGATGCTCCCTGTGGGTTTACTGGGGGGGGAGGATTTAAAGTTCCTCCAACATTTATTCCCCCCTCCCCACATTAGCTGGGGGGGACTTGGGGGAGTACCTCATCGTCACTCCCTCCCCCCTCTAACCCAGGGCAGCCATCTCCCTGTGGCTGAGGGGGCAGGCTGCCCTCGGAGGGGGCGGGGCTAGGACGCAAGGGAGAGGGAGAGGGAGAGGGAGGGGGGAGGGGGCGGAGAGCGGCGCGCGGCAGTTGCCGCCGGCGCGCGCGCCTCAGAACGCTGCCGCCCCTCCACGAAAAAGGCGGGAATATTCAAACCTGGGGCGGGAGCAACGGTCGCGGCTCGAGCCCCTTCGGCTCGGTGGGGGAGGGGCGGGTCTATGTCACCAGTGACTTATGGGGGATCCCCCCAGATAAACCAGGCTACTCACCCCCCACATGCATTAAATAGAGGAGGGGTGAGAGGCTGCCCCCCCCGTCATGAGCAGGGCACCCACAATGAGGGACCCCCCCAGAAAAGTGGGCCCCCACACACAGGTGAAACAAACATTGACAGGCTGCAAGCAGCGTGGGGAGCAGGCAGCACCCCTTCATATGAGAAGGGGACCCCAAAACGGGCTGGGGCTGAGGACCAGCTCTGGGGCTTTTCCCCTGCGGCTCTCAAAGCGTGTTACCAATGAGCACTATCATGAGCCCCACAGATGGGGAAACTGAGGCACGGAGAGGCAAAATGACTTGCCCTGGATCAGACAGAACTCAGATCTCCTGAGGGTCTATCCACTAGGCTACGCAACGTCTTAAAGATGCTTATTTCAACCATCTCGGGGATGCAGGGGTGCTTTCTCCTTTGAGGGTTGGGAGGCTACCCGCAGGAGCAAAAATCACAATGGCAATTTAGGGTGAGGTCAGAGGTCACAGCAACAAAATGACCGCTTGAGAGCCCATGAATGACTGGCCTCCCCCTAAATTAGCGTCTCCCCCAGAAGAAGGTGGATTCATTCCCCTAATCCACATGAAATAAATAGGCCACACTGGGCAAGGAGCTGTCATGCAACTGTGACCTATGGTCCATGGACATCCCCAAATGAGGGGCTCCCCCCATACTAAAGGGAATTAACTTTTCCCACATAAAATGAAGTCAATGTGCAGTACTTCAGGCCATAAGGTGCACAACATGGCATCCCTGTGGCAACATGACCTTTGACCTTGCAGGCAGCCCCCCCCCTTACAAATGACACCACCCCCTAGAGGAGAAAAGTGGATTAATTCTCCTACATACCTCAGATAAACTTTCCATATTACAAGTCATAAATAGCAAGGTAGGGAGTGCCACTATGCCAATATGACCTCTGCCCACACGGGTGGCCCATCCACCCCATAATGCTTTCCCCGGTAAAATTAATTCTCCACGCCACCCACCAAAAACGTACCATATGCAGTATGACACAGGTCCAATCATGCCCTCTATCCCCCCCCCACCCCAAAACACCCTGAAAATGGGTAGCTTTGTGCCCCAGGAGACCATCCAATCCCCACCTGCTTCCAAACTTCAATGGAAAGTGGCTGTAAAAGGGGGTAACTGGGCGGGGGGGGGGGTGTCTGTATGACCTTGGCCTAGCCCTGGAAGAATGGACAGCATGGGATGCCAAGATATGTAATGGGCATGGAGTTGTGTAACCATTCAAAGCCTTCGCCCCGATGTACTTGCACAAATGGACAGCATGGGATGCCAAGACATGTAATGGGCATAGAGTTGTGTAAGCATTCAAAGCCTTCACACCTGACATACTTGCACAAACAAGACAGGCATGAACGACAGCTGTCCCTTCACCAATACATTTCACACTCTGTAGAGACCTCTTCCAAGTGTGTGTGGGGATTTCAAACTGGGCCTGGTGACAGATTAACGAGCACCAAATTTTTTGTGGCGGCAGCCACTCGGTCCTCGGATCTGGGCTGAGAACTGCCTCCAGCAATCAGAGGGTTGAGTCACTTCTCTGATCTAGGGCAAAAGGCTTCACAATCCAAACTCTGCGGTGGTTAATAATCATTTCCGTACGCAGTGGTTTAGGACAGGAAGTGGAGAGTAACACTCCCACTTTTGATGCAATAGCAGTGACAACATTTACAAGAAGCCGAATGGAATTGCCCACAGCTAAAATTGCACCAGGAGCCGAGAGTTACTCTTGCAAAAAGTGCCATGGAATCACTAATGAGCATCAGCTCTTCAGTTTTATGCGTCGTTCTGGTCCCCTCGTTCCCACACACCCTTTGTGTAGCTTGTGCATCTGAGCAGCAGGTGGCAGGCAGAAGTGGCACTATAATGAATTCAACCACAACTGCACACATGATGAAACCAGAAATCCCAAAATCCAGCCTTGATTATAGATCTCCTACAAGCAGGAGCAGCAGATGCCTGATCTTTCTCTCCCACAAAACCCACATGCATTCCCTCTCTCTGGCACGTACACACACCATCTGATCTCACGCAAAAACACCACATTACAGTAGAGCTGTCACAATACGAAAAACATGAATATAGGTCTCACACAGAGCTAGATCCAATAGGACGTTGTGCAGATGAATTAAAGCAGCCCAGGATTTTATATAGATTGCTGTACAAAACAGGATTCAAGCCCCCTGAAGCAATAAAAACCACAATTACTGCATGTAATGAGAAGCCATTGCCCAGGGGGTAATATGAATCTGCTGTGTGTTTAATTTCAATCAAATAATTGAGGTTGATTTGCTGCAAAGCGGCCGGAAATCAGTCACTGTCAGGATATTTGTCTGGAAAAGCTACTGATTTAGGTGGAAAACTATGAAGAGGTAGAAAAGGTGAAGGAAAAAGAGAGAAGGGAGGGATGAGCCAGGTCAATCGTTAATGGCCATGCTGAGCGTGAGTCCTCAGTAAAAGCCAGGCCCAAAGTACTGTCCCAGCTGACTGGCCATTTACTGGAAATTGGATTGGTCAGGATCGTCTGTGTCTAATGGCAGCCTCTCCCCTTCGTAGCCATCCACTAGCTCTTCACTCAGCCTCTTGGTTTGGCCATTGTCCTCCACAGAAGTGGTACCTCTGGGGAGGTTGGCTACCGACCCATGGCCATCTTGCAGCGACCATGGCAAAGAGTTGGTGCTGTAGTATGCCACTGCCACTTCCCTGTGCGCCAGGCTTGGCTGGAGGAAAGACAGCTGTTGGCCCAAGCCCCTCAAATCCATGTTGCCCTCTGGCCTCTGGCATATGGACATTGTGCTGAATCTGGAGGGAAACAAAATGGTGGCAAACAGTGAATGGAGGCCAGTTCCCAAGCCTCCTACAATGGCTGCTGCTTGGCAGTAATGCCTCACTGCAAGCCCTAAGTGTGCTCAGGGACTCTGGAGTCACAGCAGGTCAGCTAATAATGGGGGGCCAGTCAGATAACTGGGGATTGATAATGTCCGGACGGCTGAAAGGGGATCTGTAAAACTAGCTCAGATTTCAGTTTCTCATTGATGAGTTAAACTGGATCAGGTTCAACTGCATACATCCCCCTCCATCCATCCCAGTCTATTCCTTCCTTCCCACACACAACTGTCTATCCATCCATCCATTCCTCCCCACATACAACCCTCCATCCCTTCCTCCCCACACATACCCCTCCATACATCTATCCACATCTCTTCAGCCACGGCCCGAAGAAAGGGACCCCCCAACACTGAAGGCAGACTGGCAGTTCGGTCTCCATTTGCAAGTGACTCCCCCAAGCCATCAGGTTCAATAGGCTGTCTTCCAGGCTCAGACATGCCTTTCCTTCTGTCAGGTAGGGGGCACAGACTGGGAATGGGAGGAGGGACATAGAGGGGAGGGATGTAGTCAAACATCCAGGAGATCCTTGGAGAAGAAGGGTTGG